AAACTCCTCACCTCAACTGATCTGCCTGCCTTGGCCTCCCAGAGTGCTGGGATTACAGGTTTGAGCCAAAGTGAGCCTCCAGCTACACTTGAGGAGAGGCCCAGCATGAGTTTTCTCTCCTGCAGGAGAAGTCACTAAAGAAATGCTTGGTGCTTCACTGATTCAGGCCAGGTAGAGGGATGGTCTGGAGGAATGAGGGATGGTCTGGAGGAATGACAGTGTGGGGTTGGGGAATACCATATTTCATATAATACTGGGTTTAGTATTTTGTACTTAGGATGGGTTGGAGTCCAGTACAAATGGGGGGTAGTGGATCATAACCACAGAAGTGTACGTCTTAGGCAGCCATTGCTGTGCATCTGCCGCACACCTGGGGAAACACAGGTGGCCAAGGCCACGGCTCCACCAGCGAAGAGTTTCCAGTGTCATAAAGACCGACATGCACTGAAATGAAACCTGCACACATCAGGACTCTTTCTTATCACCTTTATGTTCCTGGCTCCTGGTACAATCCCAGGAACATTATAGTTGGTCACTAAATATTTGACGTGCATGAATGAATGGGCAAAGGGTGATAACATGCTGGGTGCTGTGATAAAGCCCAGACGGGGCCTCTGCATCCATCTGGGGGACATGAGGAAGAGTCTCTGGAAGAAGGGTCGTCAGGGCTGGGTTTCGAGCCAGAATTATCCCAGCAGAGACCAGGAGCATGGGGTTCTTAGCAGTTCAGGGAGGGTGATGTGAGGTGGTGAGGCCAAGCCCCAATCACACCTCAGGCAACTCGCTTAACAAGCTGGGCCCTGGTTTTCTCCCCCACAAAAGAAAAGGCTCCATTAGGTGGACACTGGCATTCAGGGCATCATTCCAGATTCCCTGGAAACCATACATTCTCACCTTCTCATTTCACAGGCAGGAAACTAAGTCACAGATGGGCTGTTCCCTGCCCAGCCCCTTCAAGGAAAGCATGCGAGTTTTCCTTTCCTGAATGAGTCTGTGTCAGGCTTCCTGTTCTGTGCTCACTTTCTACACACTTGGCCCCTAATTCTCACTTTCTCTTTTCTTTCCATTGACCTTGTCACTTTTTTATTTTGGGGGGGTGGTGGATGTGCTGTTCTGTCGTCTCCACCTTTCCCATCATCTGATTCCTCCACCTGTCCACACATGCCCGACTCCATCGCCTGCCGGGGCTGGACTGCGCTCTTCTCACGCCTGGCGGAACGGTCGCTGGGCACTCCCAGCCGCTGGAGGAGCCGCTACTATGGAAAAGGACGTTACGGCCACCCTGACTTTAAGAGCTCCTGTCTGGTTCTGGAGGAATAGTGTGTTCCTTCCCTCGCTGGCTGCCTGTCTCTGGTTGTCCTGACACAAACCCCGCTTCCTTTCTGTCGCTGCTTCCCAGCTTCTCCCATCTTTGTGTCGTTTATTCTCAAAAACCAAAGTGAGGTTTCTGCAGCTGAAATGGCCACCAGCAAGGGTTACGCAGGCTGGCATTTTTCGCTGGGTGAGAGAAGAGCCACAGCATGTGGCTGGGGCCTCTGTCCACACCACGAGTAGATGGATGGCTTGTCCCTGGGTCACAGAGAACTTGGGTCATTGATCTGAGTCCCCAGGGTCCCAGTCACCCTGGCCAGAGCTCAAGAGAAGAGAATCCAGTGAAGCAGAATTACTCCTGGAAGTAGATTTTGCTCATCAAGGGCTAAGGAGCCATGGGCCTGGGCCAGCCTCTTTATAAACGTGCTGCGATTGTGCCCTGCAGGAGCTTAAAGAGGGTTCTTTGTGCCCACGCTCCCTTCTGAGGTTGCAGTGCAGCCACGCCTGGGGGATAGAATCCGGGATGACCCTTCTCTCTGGAAGGGAAATGGAGTTCTGCGCCCAGCTGCTCTGGCCAGGCCTGTAGCTCCCAACAGGCTCCGCATGAGGCTGTGGT